CACCTTTGAGTTTTACAAGGGGTCTTAGGATATCATTGGTTTTTATGTGACAAATGGTATTAAAATTTTTTCTTTGTTGGTCATCTTCCTAGATGTGTTAAAGCCACCACTATCACCCTTATTCCCAAGCACCAGCATGCTTCCAATAACTTTGATTACAGGCCCATTTCTCTTTGCAATATCTTTTATAAGATTATTGCAAAGATTCTTACTAATCGCTTAAATGTATCATGCCTCACATCATACACAAAAGTCAAGCTAGGTTCATTCCCAAGAGAATTTCTATGGACAACATTATTTTGGCTAATGAGCTTTTAAATGATTTTAATGGATTATCATCCAAGAAGTTCTTTTGCACTAAATTGGATATCTGTAAAGCTTTTGACTCTATTTCTTGGGATATTCTCATTTCTGGATTACGTGTGAAAGGTTTTCCAGATAAGTTCATTTCTTGGATAAGGAGTTGCATTTTTTATGTTCCTTTTTTTCATTTGCATAAATAGTGCTCTTGAAGGTTTTTTCACCTCCACTGCCGGCTTGAGACAGGGATGCCCACTGTCCCCTCTTTTATTTATCGTTATCATGGATGCTTTTTCTTGCTCTTTGGATGCTGGGCTTTTTTTGGGTATTCCTTGTGCTTCTAGTTCTCTCAATTATCTCTTGTATTGCGTTTTATACAAAAAGACCATGGGTGGATGAAAAGTTTCAGATTGAAATGTGACTTCACTAAGGGAAAGACGATTTATGACTTTTACCCCAACATGGCATTCAATGCAAGCATCCTATAAAGGCAATAGTCTCAATCCTTCCCAGTCAAACGCGGCGTGTTCGAATGATGATCGCTTTTACGCGAGAAAGGGGCGGATGATGTGCTGATGTTTGGGGTTGCCTCTATTTCCAATGCCTAGGAGTTATCCAAGTTCTTAAAGAATTTTTCTATTGGGTCGGGCCCCCACATTAACAATGCCAAGTGTTCCATTTTGTTCTCTAAGAACACTCACACTGTTAATGATATCATCAATATTCCAGGCTTTACCCCCACTAAGCATTCTTTCAAACACATGGGTTTGCCCATTTCTACCAAAAGGCTTAATTTTACTCACTTCCAACCACTATTGAGTAGAATTTCTACTCTACTTGCTGGTTGGAAAGTCAAATTTCTTTCTTTTGCATGTCGTATCCAATGCTAGCGGTTCACTATTGCTAATACTTTAGCCTATTGGATAAGGGGAGCAATTATACAAAAATCATGTTCTAGATTCATTGATAGATTATGTTCGAGATTCCTTTATCATGGCTCTATTGAGAGTAAAAAGCTACATCTGGTAGCTTGGCACAATACCTATTTACCTACTTGCTTTGGTGGTCTTGGGATCCCGGACATCTGTCTGCCTTTGTTCAGAGAATGTTTAAAACCAAAACATTGGTATTTGGCTGGTTTAAGTTCAAATTCACTTCCCGTTGGAAGACTTTCTCATCTAAGACTACTAAATTCTTGAAGTTTATTCACTGTGTTGTTGTCAAGATCAAGGATATTATTATTCTTAACATGACTACTGTGGGTTGTATTTCATATATGTTTTTTGACCCTTTGGTGGGTGGGAAGATGCTAGCTGAGTTTTTTTCTCCTATCCCTGGGCTACCTGAGAGTGTTCAGGATTATGTGATTGAGGGATCCTGGTGCTTGCTGGATTGCTTCCCCTTATGGACTAGGCAACTTATTTTAGCTATCCCTATTTTGGGCTCTTATTTTGCTCCTCTAGCTTGGATGGACAATGATAAACCTTATTTTAAGTCTTTTAGACTCCACTTTTTTGCTGGTTTACAAAAACTGGACTGGTTTAGATTCATTTGGCATTTGGCATAAGCGAGCTGCTCTTAGATATTCTTCGTATGTCTGGCTTTTGGTTCAGAATGGGTTAAAGATGGTTGATGTTTTAGCCAAGAGAAACATATTCATACACTCTACTTGTCCTATTTGCTAGCGAGAAGAGGAAAACATTACTCAAATGTTCTTTTTCTTATGATTTCTCTTTTGCGGTTATATCCCACCTCCTACCAGTTTTGAACAGTTTATTGCTAAGGTCCTCTTTGATGCTGCTATTTAAATTTTTGGAGGATATTGCCATATACAACATGGCTGAAAAACTTTTGTTATTTTGTGATAAGTTGTGCAATCTATTTCATATGGAGGGAACGAAATGATACAAGGTTTGCGGGATTACATGTCTCTCATCGATAATTGTGTAAGAAATTGGCTACGACCATTTCTTACAAATTTTTAAGTGGAAGTTAGCTGATTTGCTCTATGACACATTTCCTTCATGCTTTAACTAAGGTGGTGGATTGCTGGTTGGTTTTTGGGACGATGATAATTGGAACCTGCATGGTATTTTGCATCCCCTTGAACGACCATTTGCATCAGCTTTGATGGTTCACATTTTGGCCTGTCATGTATCTCTACACCCTGACTCTGCTCGGGTTCTGGTCTTTTGGCAACCATGGAGAATTCCTTTTCGGTTCATTGAGGCTAGATGCGGACAAATGAGCTTTTTGGCTCTCAAGTTTTTGTTTGTCCTCTGCGGGTTCCATATAACTTGAGTCCTGTGTGTTTTTGCTCTTTTTGTTCATTTTTGGGTTTCTAATATTACATTCTTTCTTTGTTTTCAGGTTTTTAGATGGTTTTGTAGGTTGTTTTTTGTAAGCCTTTGAGTTTTTGTTATATCAATATACGAGCTTTGCCCCAAAAAAAAAAAAAAAAAAAAACTCACGATCTCAACTTTCCCATTTGTAGTTGATTCGTACAGATGTCCCTTGCTGTCTGATATATTTCAATGTATTTAAACTCTATTATAACGAATATAAGAAATATTCTAAAACATTTAAGTCACATCAAACAAAATAATACATATGTTTTAAAAATATATTCATTCTATTTATTCTATATTATAAATATTCAATCAAACAACCTCTAAATCAACACATACGGAAGAGAAGGAAAAAAAATTTGAAAAAAGGAGAAATTACATACATCAATTATGTAATTCTATTATTTTTTAAAATTAAAATAAGGATTTTTTATTATGTTATTTTTAAAGCTTCTTTCTCAAATTTAGTTTCAAAATTACTTTTTCAAAAATAATATTTTAGTTTTCTGGTTTTGGGTTGCTTTTTGCTGTTGGTGGTCGGTTTGGTTGCTTGTTGTTTTATTCTTTTTCGTTTGTTCATTTGGGTTTTGTTTTCCTGCTGTTGTTCTGAATGTTCTTTAGTTGATGGTTTTTTGATATTGATGGGTTTGGGGTTTGCCTTCTTGGTGGTCTCGGTTGTTGTTGTTCTGCTGCTTGATGGTGGGTATGGTGTTCTCTATCTATTTATTTTGTTGCATTGGATGGGAGTGTTTTCCTTCCCATTGTTTTGTAGCTTTGTTCGGTAGCTGCTTGTTGTAAATGAATCTCTTGATTTGGAGGTGCTTTCTCTTGCTTGGTTTACTGGTTGATCTCTTGTATTGCTGCCAGTGGTCTGGGTAATTTTTTGCTTGATGGTCTTGTTTATTAGTTTTCTGCAGTTGCTTGGTGGCTTAGGTGTTATCTGGCCGAATGTTTTTGTAGATATGTTAGTATGGTGGAGCATTCTCTTAGCTAGATCTACAGTTCTTCTTATTGTAGGTTGATCTATTGTGTTGCTGTCACTTGTCTGGGTGATATCATGCTTGATGGTCTTAGTTGTTGGTTTTCTGCAGCTGTTTGGTGGCTAAGGATTTCTCTTGTTGGTTGTTTATTGCCTCTTTTGGGAGTTGGTTTCCATCTCTTTGTTTTGGTGCTTGGTTTGGAAGTTGCTTGTGGAGCTTTCTCTTAGCATGTTCTCTTGTTATGCTTGCTTTAAGTGGATCTATTGAGATGGTGGTGATTTCTATTAGCTTATTGTTGATAGGAATTTTTGGTGTAATGTATAGCTTGCTCATTTTGTTCCTTTTCTCCTTTATTTTGGAGTTTTTTAGTTTGTTTAGTTTTGTAAGTTTTTATTTGTTTTTCTTATAAACTATTGTTATTCTCTTGTAACCTTTCATTTTTGGAATGAGTTTGGGCATGATTGTCTCTAATTTCTAAAAAAACAAATTTTTGTATAGATGAAATAAAAAAAATGATGAAATGATCACCTTCCTAACACATTATTTTTATTAACTACTTTTCTTATCATTAAAGAATCTTAAAATTTCTTCCAATTAAAAACTAATTTTTTATTACATCTATTTTTAATTTTTATTTAAATATTAAAATTTATGATAAAATTTCAATTCATATTTTTTATTTTTATTAAACTTTTAATAATTTTATTATAACACTCATAATAAGTACATGAATTCTATAGTTAAAAAAATAATATATATTAGAATTTTATAAATAATTAAATATTATGTTAAGTATAGTTTTTTCAATATTTTTAAATTAATTAAAATTAAATTCATAAACACATCAAATTAACAAATTTTCAACCTAAAATCTTTTAATAAATACTAAAAAAATTCAACAAACATATCAAGATGCATTATGACAAATATTTTGAAAATCGGACTGGACTGGCGGTTCAACCATGAACCGGTCTAGTGACCGGTCCGATCTAGCCTACAGAAGCGGCTTTGCATTGAACTGGCTCGAACCAGATTGAACAAACGGTTAAACCGGTGAAGTACAGAACCGATCCGATTTGGAAAGAACTTGCCGGTTATATAAAAAATTTTAATTTTGTTTAAATTAAATGTTAAATAATATATTTTAGTTCATTCAATTCATTTAAATTTTTTGAATGTTTGTATTAAATATAATGATTAAATACACCTTAATATATGCATATTATCTCAAGTATCACACATAATGTATTTAGAAAAAAGTGTGTACTTCACATCATTTAAATAGTTAAAGGCAACTACCTCAAATTCATCCTATGATGTGAAACTAAAAAAGTTGCATAAATAAAGATTATATAATTCACAAAATTTCTCCGGTTGAAAAAACAAGCTAGGCATGCTCGTTTTACTCTCACAAGACACCCGACTCCTCGTCGGCACCTTGGTCCGCTTCTAAAACCCTAGCAGAAGCGCGGTGATTCGAGCAAAGCTGATGACTATAGACGACGACAACTCTATTTACGTTGGCGGCCTCCCCTACGACGCTAGTGAGGCCGACCTCCGCCGTGCCTTCTCCCTGTACGGTTCGGTGGTCGCCGTGAAGGTCAATCGTCAAATCCCTTTTTATCTTCTTTCTGAAAAGCTTAATTAATCTTTCATTCTCCTTTAATTATTAATTCTAATCAACAAGGAGAAATCGACTCGTTGAGCAGAATCTTTTGGGCTTGTGTGACGGATGCCCCTCGAATCTAGCTGGGACCATTACGTTAAGCTGTGTCTTCTTCGGGAACTAGGAAATAGATAGTATGCAGAACGGTAGTTACGAAGGCGCTGTTTGCACTATCTGAGAGGAATAACTTGAGAATTTAGGATTTGTAGAGCAGAATTCCATAATTTATTCCTAGTTTTTAATATTTTAGAAGGATTCTGAATTATTCTAGTGGTGGCCATTGGTTAGTTTTGGATGAAAATGACGACGCTTGTGGTTGTTAAAAGGGGGGATTTACATGCATACCACTTTATTTCATGCTATTTACTTATCTAACACTCAAAACATTAATATTACATGTCTATCTCTCATATAACAAATTTGGGTGCATGGAATGAAATATTAAAGTTTATAGGATTGTATGAATGGTAGAAATGAATTATAGGAGTGGTATATTTGATATTAAAATTGTATATGAGCGGTAGATATGTAATATTAATGTTTTGGGTGTTGGATATGTAAATAACATGAAATGAAGTGGTTTATATGTAAAACTCTGTAAAAGATATGCTGCTGTCTGTTCACCTTTCTTAAATGGGGCCCTAACGTAAATAAAACACCCGAATTGTTTGCACATGCTTAGTTTATAGTATCATTGGAATGTGGAAGACAAGTAATATAGTTATTTTAATTAATACTGTTGGATTCTAAATATTTTGGCTGACACCATATTCTTACTAATAAAGTAATAATGTAGAGAACAAGAGAGAGATTTTAGAGAGAAAACCTTTACGAATTTGAATAAATTATCCGAAAAAATGAAAGATGATGTGTCAAAATGAATGTCTCAGGCTCATCTTACCCTCTATTATAGATTTTGGCCAAAGTACATCCATGAAAAGCCACATTTGATTAATATAAATAAAATTGCATAGTAAGGCTTAATAAGTATTTGCTGTAAAATGTTAAACCTCGCTAGCTTGTAGTTTGCTAATTACATGAATAGCTCATGGTCAAGTCTTGATAAATTATGAGATATTTGAAAATAATTCTTCTTTGATGAGGTCTCTGGTCACTTCATTTTGAGCTTGCAAGTACTTTGAGGATTGGTTGACTTACATACAAATTGATGTATTGAGTTCAAATATTCTCGGGGATTAATATAGGTTTAACTAAGTTTAGATTATGAATATTATAACTGGTATTTAATAGACCTGTTTTATGACTTGAACTAGTGAGTATATTAATTAGATCATCATATTTTCTTGTGACATCATCTTTGTGGCATTTTGGTTCAACTACTTATTGACTTGATTGACTTTGGTTCGAGATAGTTGCAATATTTGATAAACATAGATTAGGCAATATTTTATATACATTAGTTCCTTTAGTTTGAAGAAATCCAAAAAAGAGCAAGAGACAAAAAATTACAAATTCATTTACACATCTGTCTCACAAGTCTATAAATTTATCCATGGAAGCTTATTTGAAGATTTTTTTTTTTCTGTAATTTGTCTTCCTCATTAACTCCACCTTGCAATTTTCTGCCTCCTTTGGTTGAGACGAAGGGCTTGGAAACCTCAATCTCTGTGATTGCTTAAATAGAGAACTTGTTTCTTATTTTAAAGACGTGTCAGAAGGAGGCTCTCGAAAAGTAGCATATGTAGAATTACTGTTAGATTCCAAACCACCTCTAAAGAAAGTAAAGATTGAACCTTTGGAGGTGAGTAAGGAGGTTGCCAAGCTTGATGCATTAATTGATCTCTTAGCTTCATCAAGTCTTCTTGCACTGACAGAGCAACTTCTAATATTGTTGCTGAAGTTGTTGAGAAGGATCCATCTGTTGCTATAGATGAAGGTACAACTCAAGAAGAGGTTTGTACTGAAGTGAAGTCTGTTCCCAGAGTGTGGATTAGCACTTTCTTGCTGAATTCATCATGGGTGCACTAAATACAATGTCTTGTAAGTTGTAAATGAGCATCTGAAGTGACATTAATGAGAAGTTTGCTCTTCTAGAATCCTCTATTGATCGGCCAAGTTCCAAGAGTCCTTCAACTCTTGATACTTCTACAAAAGTTTCTTCTATTATTTTTGGAGTTGCTGCAATAGAATGAAGCTTGAACAGCCCAAAAGAAGCGGGCATTGTAACTTTTGCACCTGATATCTTAGAAATTGATAAAATGACTTACAATGATAACTTGGCAGCCCAATCTTCTAAAGGCATTGATAACGGTGAGAAGTCTTCTCACGTTTCTTTGGAAGTTTCAAGCCAAGCAATTTAACTTTGATTACACTTGATGGACTTGAAATTTCTTTTTTGGTTAGGACAATTGAAGTTTTGATGATCAAGGTTCTTCTTTGAAGTCTTTTATTAATACCAACTAGCCTCATGCAGACTTTTAGATATTTTTGATAAACTTACTACACATAGAGTTCTTGTTATGCTGAAAGAAGTTGGCTTAATCTTTTAGAAGAAAAGCTCAAACACTGACGGTCGCCCAACTATAATCTATGATGAAGTCAGGAATGGCTTGCACTAAAAACATCAAGGAGTGAAGATTGAGGTCATGTATACTCACAAGTTTTGGTGTTGTCTGGATACAATCAAATTTTTTTGATGGTGTGAGTTCATTATTCGGTAGTTGATTTATCATTGGTCGACTCCAATGAGATATAGCTTTTGATTTGGTCTTTCATTTCTAGTTTGGTGCTGCTGTGTTGGGTGAAGATGTTAGGCGGGGCCCAAACTTTGCCAAGTTGTCCTTAAAATCATTTGTTATTTTCTGAGAAAAATTAAGGTAGGTTGAATGTAACTTCTTATTTTCTTTTATGTCTTTTATTTCCTTATATTAGTTTGTGTTGAGTTATTTTTTATTTCAACAGTTTTTTTTTTATGCTTTGACAAAATGTATTTAAGATTTTTAGTAGATCTTACTTTATTATTGTTCATAATATTTTTATTATGAAGTCAGCCTTGTTGTTGTTGTTGCTTTTTATATGAAGTCGACCTTTTGTTTAAGTCAACCTTGATTTTTATTGTGCTTTTTACAGCAAAGTAGGCCTTTTGCTGAAGTTAGCCTTGATATTGACTTTGCTTTTTGGAATGAAATTGGCATTCATTTGAAGTCGGCTTTGATGAGTTTATGAGTCACTTGCTTGAGTATCAATTGAATTTCTTGTAATTATTAGAGTTTTTCTTTTAAAAAAAATGATGAACTCAATTTTATATTTTTTGATTTGACATACGAAATGATGAAATAACTTGTGGATATGATCACTTCTCAGGGTCTTGAATTTTTAATGGGGCAAGGGATTTTAGGAATGCAACATTTGACTTTCATTTGGATCTGGCTTGGCTCAAGAGGAGTTGACCTCAATCCATCATGATCTCAATCCAATTATAGTTTCTAAATCCATTCAAGGAACTGTTAATCTAGTTCGTTATTTAAAAAATTTATATTGCCTCAAATCGTACTTGACCTTTTTATCCTCTGTTTATCTTTAAATGATAAGTTGTTATCTTAGATGGGCTTCTCCTTGTACCAGAACTTTTGTCTTCACGTGGGTAACCATCTCTAGATTCCTCGCTAGAATGGAGATATCTTGTTCTCAATGTAGATCTTATTGCTTAGGTGGGTGGGGGGTTAATTTATAGGGCTTAATTTTTTTATCGATAAAATAATAATGATTTTCGAAACGTTCAGATCATTTATATTAAAAGAATTTGTAGAAGTTAAATATTGAAATGATAACTATTAAATCCTAGCCGTCCTGTGGCCCTTGATCCCATGACCAACATGGAGATCTGTGGGAGACTTACCTTTCTAAATCCTAGCTGTCGCTTGGGCCCTTGATCCCATGGCTAGTATGGGGATCCGTGGGAGGCTCACCTGGATCACGGCAATCTCCTTCCATATTTGGGTGGCTGATTTATAAAGGATTTTATTAGGAAAATTATGTATTATTCCATAATTATTTGTTTCCTTAATAAGATATTTTTGTATAGATCTATAAATAGGGATAACTTTGTGCAATGAAATTAACTATTCCCTCTTCAATTCTCTGAATTTAATATGGTATCAGAGCCTTCATTGCTGTAGTTGGAATTCAAAGTTTTTTTTCATTACTGTTGTGCCTTCATTGCCGGCTTTCCCCTGTTGTTACTATCATATCTATAACCAATGTAGCCTTCATTGCTGCTCTGCTTTATAGAACTATCATTGCTACCCTTGCCGCCGCAATGCCTGAAGCAAATTCCTCCTAAAGCTTTGACCAAATGGATGACTCTATCTTGCGTCAAGGAAGAGGTGACCTCCAAAATATGCAACATTCCCATCGCTTAAATGGGAAGAATTATTTAAAGCGGTATCAATTTGTGAAGACCTACTAGAAAAGGAAAGGAGAGATAAATTACATCCTTGGGGTAGGACCAAAAGAAGGAGATCCAATTTTTGGTTATGGGATGAAGTGGACTCCATGATTGTCATTATTGTTGAATTCCATGACTATAGACATTAGTGATATTTTTATGTTCCTATATATTGCCTAGGACATATGGGATGCCATTAGACAAAAATTCTCAAAAGCTCGGGATGCTGGTCAAGTCTTCGAAATTAAGGTCAAGGTGAGAAGCACAAAACAATGAAGCAAGTCTGTGATTGAATATGTCATTCTCTTTCAAAGCTTGTGGCAAGAACTTGATCACTACAACTATATAGAGACCAATTGTCCAGAAGATGCTGTTATCCTGAAAATCTTTGTTGAGAATGATAGTGTATGGCTTTCTTGTAGATTAAATGTGGAGTTTGGCCAGGTTAGAGTTTAGATCCTTGACAAAGATGAGACACGTTCACTAAATGAGACAATTTCTCTCACTCATGCTGAGAAAAGCTGAT